ATATATGTATAATATATATGTTTTTGACATTAAAAAGTAAAGAGAATTTGTTGGAAATTTTCAGAAATAGTGTAAATTACAATTAAATAAAAATCTAAATGGTCTTAAAATAAAATATATATTTTACATAAATGGTCTTAAAATAAAATATATATTTTACATAAGACAATGATTTTATTTATTTTTATTTTTTATGTGAACTATGACTTAGGTGTGTTCTTAACAAATTCACACAGAAATAGTATGTTTTAGGAGTTTATTTCTAACAAAATGTATTTAATTCTATGAGCATCATATTGCCTTCATGAACTCAAAGTAAACTGTGTTTATTTTTACCCGCAGCTTTACTTGTTGTGGAGACGGAGACATTCGGGAGTCATATTCGAATAAAAGGGAAAGAGAGTGGATACTACATCTGCATGAACAAGAACGGCAAAATTATTGGAAAGGTATGTTTACTATCACACATCGGAACTAAAAATATCAGATTCAAATATTATTAGCTGTTTTCACTGTCTTGCAAACAGGTATAAAAAAACAGGTTTGAGCCACATTAAACTACGAAATGAATGTAACGAAATTGTTTTTGGTTCCTGTGTGTATGCTTTTGATTTACATTTATCTTGTTTATAATTGCAGTTATGAATATGATTACTCGTGTATTGCATGTTTAGTGAATGTCAACTTGATGTATGAGTTTGTAGTTGAGACCAAAACCACTGCTACTGTAACCAACTCATGATGGTTATATAATGGAGCCAGTCAACACATATTTTCATACCATCTATTCAAACAAAAATGAAATATTGAGGCTGGCTGTTTGAAGTTAAAATTGTCCTTTTTTCCAAGTCCTTGTAACTGCCATACCACAAACAAATCTTAGTGGAAAGACCAACACCCCCTACATTTGCCATGAATAGGACATTACGTGCTTCACTGGCTTGTTTTGAACTGACCCTCAGTTGAAGGGCCCAATTATTGTGTCTTGTTGGCAAAAGCTGGTCATTCTTTTAAAAACATTATGCTTTGGAAGACGAGTAGGCGTCTTGTCATACAATAGTTTTATAGTAGATGTGTAAACTGCAGATCAGTTTTTAATCAAACTTTGAAACTATTTTGAGATGCATATATTCTGAAATGATAATAAATAGGGTTTAAAAAAGAGGGCCTTTTCTACATTTTCTTCACTCAATAGATTATCGAGACTATTATCGAGATTATTTATGGTTATTAATTGCTCTCTAAAATAGTTGATTGTGATTGGTCAGTCATTCTGTCATATATTTTTCCCATATTTTATTTTATTATTTTATTTTATTTTGAGTAGCTGGCTGACAAGTGAGATAATATGAATATGGAAGCCTGTCATTATTGTAAAATAAACTACAGCAGGGTCATGAAACACTAAGCTGTTGGGGTTTATTTTATTTTATTTTATTTTGTGAGTAGCTGGCTAATAAGTGGGATAATATGGAATAATATGAAAGCCTGTCATTATTGTAAAATAAACTACAGCAGGGTCATGAAACACTAAGGGCCCTATTTTAACTATCTAAGCGCATGGTCTAAAGCGCACGGCGCAGGTGCACTTAGGGCGTGTCCAAATCCACTTTTGCTAGTATAACGACGGGAAAAACGGTCGGCGCGCCCGGTGCATGGTCTAAAAGGGTTGTCCCTATGCTCTTAATGAGTAATGGGTGTGTTTTGGGCATAACGTGCAATAAACCAATCAGAGTCTCATCTCCCATTCCCTTTAAGAGCCAGTTGCGCTCGTGCCATGGCGGATTTGCTATTTACACGGCGGAATTTGCACGTGCAAAGACAGAACGCGTCTCCAGAGATGAAACGGAGCTGCTCGTGCATGAGCAAATAGGTAGCCTAATTCTGATACATGCGATGACTATCCATTATGACATGTAGGCATTTTTATATTTATGTAGCCTACACAATAATAATCTTTTACATTGTAATCCTTTAATTTTTAATATTTGGTATGCTTGTGTGCTGCTGTGCGTCCCTGAGTGTGTAATAAGCAGAGTGTACGCACGCTGTGGACCCGCCTATACTAACAAAAAAAACTACTGCGCCATTGACTTTAGACCAGGTTTTAGTTGGTCAATGGCGCAGTCTATTTCAGTTGCCTCAAAATAGCAACGCGTCAGCAATGCGCCTGAACACACCTCGTTTTCAGACCAACACGCCCATGAGCGCACAAATGGGTGCAAATGCACTTGCTATTTAAACAACGTGGTGCAGGACGTGAAAATGACAACTGCGTCGGGCTGAAACTAGCAAAAAACACTTGTGTCGAGCCTGGCGCCGCATTGCACCGGGTGTATGATAGGGTCCTAAGCTGTTGGGGTTTATTTTATTTTATTTTATTTTATTTTAGTTTAGTTTAGGGAAAATACAGCTTGGCTGTGTTGCTAACAGATTCTGCAATATATTGTATATAATATATAGTATTTTTATTTTTAAATCTGTGAGCAAACTATGTTTTATGTTAGGGTTTATGTTTTGCAATAATGACTGACAGGCTGTAAATAAAATCCTAATGACCTATCAGACCATCAGCTGAGAGGTTGTTCAACAAGTGGACCATTTTTCTGACCTGTCATCTTGTCTTTTCTCCTCAGCCCAATGGGAATAACCAAGAGTGCGTCTTTGTGGAGGAATATTTGGAGAACAACTACACAGCGCTGGTGTCGGCCAAGTACAAAGGCTGGTATTTGGGTTTCAACCGAAAGGGTCGACCCAAAAAAGGCTCCAAGACCACGCAAACACAACAGGAAGTGCATTTCATGAAGCGCCACCCCAAAGGAAAAGTGGACCCTCTGGAGGAGTTCCGTTTCACGACGGTAACGAAACGGACACGAAGGGCGCGGCGTTTAAAACCCAACCCCAAAACGAACTGAGTCGCTACCCGTGCTTCTTACCTGACAAACAACTTCATCTAATCCGAAACAGGAGAAGGAAGAGGACACAAATAAACAATGGCTACAGAAAAGAGACAAGAAACTTACGTTCAAAGATGTTTTATTTTTACATCTCAGAAACGTCAAGTTCTCCCAGCTGTTGAATGTGGGTCTTTTTGAAATGTAATTGGTGTCTGTTATTTTATTTATACTGGATTAACTAAGGATGAACTATAAGGAACTAGCGTCTCCTGCTTTGACACGTTTAAACTCTGGAATAGCGATGAGAGCAAACTGCACCACCTGGGAAATCTTTTATTTTCATTTGTGTTGCCCCCAACAACAAGGATCCAGTATTTTCCACTGGAATGGTGGGCTGTCATGGAGACACAACGAGAGAGCGATAACAGAGTCATGTGACCCTTGCAGGCCTCCATAGGTAAACATGAAGCTTTGAGTGCAATATTTTGAAGAGCCTCTCTGTGGGATGCCTTTCTCGTCTGAACGGACAGTAGGCCTTCTCTTGGGCCGAATGCGCAGAATGCTTCGATATTCTTTGATTCAGCTTAGATCGACGTGCTTTGACTAGCCAGATATCAGCTTTAGCTGTGGTGATAGTGTGTGTGAGAACTAACAGACGCAAGCCTGGATATGAAGGGACTGGAAAAAGGTTTGGGGAATCGCTCTAATGCTCTACATTTGGATCATGTGTACATGCTGATTATGCCGTCACCCTAAATGTAAGCTACCAAAATACGTAATGCAAAACCAGGTATGATGCATCGCTCTTAATGTCCCGGACACTCAACAAGTATCGGATTTTGACTACTTCCAGGTCACTCAGCCAATGAAATCGGTCCGCCTGACAATCAGTCATGTCCTTTGTGTTCTAGAACGCTTTCTCTCAGTTCTAGAAGGTTTGAGACAGAAGAAATCCCTTCTGCAGACGCTGGACTCCAGCCACTGTTGGTGAGGTCGACTCTCTATATGGGTATAGCTGTAGTATACACTCGTCTATATACTCATCGTCTGTCAGACGTTACTAACAATCATGCCACTCGTACGATTAAGTAAATGTATGCAAAAATAATAATTTTATTACTATTATAAAATATTTATTGCCTTTCTCTGTAAATATGACTTGATGAATTTATTTGACCTCTGTTAATAATAATAAAAAAGAGGACTATATATGGAAAATGAATATATGTTATTACTGTTTTTGTGGCGTTCATATATTTGGATGTATGATGAACGATAATACAGTGCTAGAAATTCAGTGTTGCATTACATGCAACCTACAGTACCTGCTGCTGTAGACAGTTGCAGTGTGATTTCATAATCAAATGTGTGGGTCAAAAGACTCCTTTCAGTGTAATGTGTCATTGAAAACAACTAATTCACTTTCTGAGGTGTTTACAGTTTAGAAGTATCTGTCAAGGTGTAATGCACTGCAAAAAACGACTTTCTTCCTCAATTTTGACAGGTATATTTTCTGTTTTTAAGCATAAACTCACTTCCTTTTGATGCATTTTTCACAAAAAAAAACAGGACTTAATATCTTAAGTCATTGCTCTTCTTAAGTTAATATATCTTGATTTAAGAATGTTGAGGTGTTTGTACTGGAAAACAAAGAGAAAAACACTGAGTTAGAGAATCATTCATTCATTCACTTGTTGCAGTGTTGGCAATTGCATTGGAAAGCAATGGAAAACTATGGGGCAAATTCACAGATACATCAAAAACAACACTGTAATTTAAATATTCAAATGTTTGATTCAAATTTGAAAATTTAGGTTTGATGATCCCATACATCCGTAGGTCTTTTAAAAAATATTATGTGAAGTCTGGAACTTTATTTAGCTTGTTGCGATCTTTGCTCCTGTATATTTCCAGATAACTGTTGCATATCCTTCATCTTTACAAGCACGAACTTTTCATTAGCATAATCTCCAGATACATAACACTGAAATCTATAGACACTGAGACAGACAGCGAGAGAGAGAGAGAGAGAGAATGTAGCAACTGGGATGCTAAACACTCACATTCAGTGCCATGAAAAAATAGTGTTCCCAGGCGTGATTTATTCCCATATTTTTTAAAGGAAAATGTCAGATAATAATTCTTGTTAAAAATATTCAAGAACTGTTGTCATTTAATTTTTTATTTATTTTTTCATTTTCAACCAGACACAATTAATCAGCAGAATAATGCAATAAAATTAATCATTATTGCATCCCAAGCAGACATAAGACTTAAGTATAAGACTGTGTATTAGGCTTTAGTTCTATGCAAATCATAATATCTCATTAATTAATTTACCGAAACCCAGACTTGTGTATAGTTTATTAGTAAGCATTGAAGATTTGAAGACCCAAATTTGGAGCTTTGCTTAATGATGCAAGTCAATCTTCACTTTGACTGTGACTGATTGCATAATAAAGAAAAGAGCTTTTAGAGAAGAAGATGGGTCTTGAAACACATTAAACAGGCCCACGCATGTGTGAATATGTTCTTAGACGGCCGTAACTACTAGGTGTCCGAAGCGTGCTAAACGCAGCGCAAGGGAGTTGGCTTTTGACGCAGAGGTTACGGTTGATAATTTGCCATAGGACACTAGACAAAGAGGCGAATTGCTCTGTGGAAGTTGAAGACACGGTCCAGAAAATGTGTCATGGGGAAGTTATGAGGCGTTTAAAGACAGTGAAGAGTTTCTCAGACAACATGGGGATTCAAGGATCATTTAGATTCAAGGTTATATCAACAGAGCCCCTCCTCACTTTTACATATTACCGCTTTTATGAAATCAATTAGAACCGAAGGGAGTGAAGGAATGCTCAAAGAGAATGTTCGGAAAGGTATTAAGGTCAATGGAACGATTCCTTTTCCAAATGGATTTCCAAAACTTCTGGTATGAAACCTTGTTCTGGGAGAAATTACTTCTGCGGATGACAGCGAGCTCATTAGACAGTCTGCATGAGCCACTAGAGAGAATTTATTCTAATTCTCGATGTGTCAATAACAGACTCGAAGGTGAAACCGAGAGCTCTCGAGCAAAACTCGCTGTCGGGATGGTGGTACATTTTTTAAACGCTGTAGGCCTAACTCTCCCCCTCCGTGTGTCTCCAAGCTCTTAGGAGTCTTCTTTTGGCAAAGCTCTGAGACTTCGCTCTCCCTTTAAAAAGGAGGATCAGGAATGTAGGGTAAGATGTCTCATAATGTTGTGTTCTGGAATGATGTTTACAGCAGTAGTCAAGCTGAAAGATGGCCGGTTTGAGGGAAAAATGCCTTTTGTTTAACTTCTCACTGATGTTATCAGACGCCGCACTGCAGCGCAGCCACCTACAGCGCGGGGAGACCTGGGGATGTCAGCTGATTTAGATGGCTGACGGATTGCCTTTCTTTCCCCTTTTTATTATTCCTTCCTTAAGGCTGAATAATAGTGGGCCGTATTTTTTTTTTTTAGATGGGTGTCCTCTCCAAGCTTGAATTACTCGGGCCAGACGGAGCAGTCACACACAGGAGTCTGTCCGAGTCTGATGATGTTTAATGCAGCGCTGCTGGTTTGGGTTTTACTTTTACTCAAAACCCGTTTTTTTTTTCTGCACACATTTTTGACGATGGGGTGAGTAGGAGGGCTGATGCAAGAGGTGATAAGGCTTACAAATGTTTTAAAGTTGCTGAAAAATATGTACACATTAAAATGACCTCAAGGCACCACACGAAATCTATGTGTTTTTCTATTTCTCACTCTCTAAATGAAAGAAAAACAGCTCTGGAAAATACTTGCTAACAAGTCTAATATTCGTTAACATTTTTCTCCCAGAAAAAAGGAAAGGTAGGATATATATTTTATATAATAATATGATATAATAATCATCATCATTTTTTATATATATAATATAATTTTTCATTAACATTTATTTGAGTGTTTTGGCTTTTTCACAGAACAAACAGAACAGCGACAACGAAGAAAAGAAAAAAAGATAATTAGAATAATAAAATAAATTAAAATGTAATAACCTATGACAGAACAACAGAACATTGAGGGACAAATGCATACAAAGACAAATTCTAATTTAACTGGTCAGGTAATGCATAAACAGGATACAAATTCATAAGGAATCATCATAATTTTTAATATTATTCAAAAATAGTTATTTTTGAGGATTCAACAACAACAACAACAATATTAACAAATCCTGAAAATAATGTATCATGGTTTTCACAAAAACATTAAGCAGCACAACTGTTCAACTGTTTTCAACACTAATAATAATAAGAAATGCTTCTTGAGCAGTAAATCAGCATATTAGAATGATTTCTGAAGGATCATGTGACACTGAAGACTGGAGTAATGATGCTGAAAATTCAGCTTTGCATCACAGGAATAAATTACATTTTAAAGTATATTTAAACAGAAAACGGCTATTTTAAATTGTAATAGTATTTCATAATATTACTGTTTTTACTGTACCTTTGGTCAAATAAATGCAGCCTTGGTTAGCATAAGAGACTTTTTTTTCCCAAGAACATTAAAAAACCTTACCGTCCCCAAACTTTTTAATAATATTCTGATATTTGAACATTAAAGATCAACGAGTGTTTAACTCCAGATTCCTGCCTGCTTTCCTCCTTTGCCGTAACCTTTGATCAGTGTAGGATGACCCTGGAACTGTTGAAATGAATCATACAATCTGTCTGCAGCCGCTTCTTTCAGGCTCTGTGAACTCACCGCAGCAGCCGACAGCTATTCTTAGGCAAAAGAAGCGCTGACTCCATCACAGGAGACTCCAGCAGTGCATGACTGTCTAGGACGCCACTTCTGCTCTCTTTTAGTTGACCAGTCTCTTGCCTTTTAAAAATATTGCACTCTTGGGTCAGCTTTCGGTAAAAGCCATAACTAAGGGTCATGTTTTCCACGCCTGGTGGCTGCCAGTCAGCACTTGTTTTCTTTCACGAGTGACAAGCAGAAAATAAGGTGCGTGCCGCAGCACGGCGGTCACTGTTGCGCAGAACGCTTCTCAACGGTCGGGTTAGATTTTGTGAGAGGCCAAACGTTCCTCAGATTGCTCTCCTCAGCAACCACACACTTAATAAAGGGCCATGTCAACAGAAATTTGGTGGCCCTCTATTCTCGACACAGAACAACCTTTGTCTCCTTAAATATTATTTCACTTCGCCTCAGGGTTTTGCGGAGGAACAAACATGCGAAAGCAAAATAAAGGTTGACCTCTAATATAATCCTAACTGTCACAGCTCTTTGAGTGTCATTTTCCTTTTTTTCGCGAAACCGCGCAGACACCGCAAACTTTCGTCTCCCTTCTCAGTGAATCTGACCACAATTGGCCTCCCTGCTCAAACTGTCAAACACACAGAGAGCGTTTTGTGATTCCCTCACTGTCTTTACGACCGTTCACATATGTGTAGTGGAGAACTGTTTTTATAGGATTACATATGTGCCTGTAGACAGCTATTCTGAGAAACATCTGAGATGTGCTTCATGAAAGTCAAGTATTCAAGATCTGTGGAGAACCATTAATGGAAAAAGAAACAACTAGAAAGATGACCAGAATTCCATATAAACTACTGTTCAAAGGTTTGGGGTTGCTAAGTGTCTCTTGTCTAACAAGGCTGCATTTGTTTGATCAAAAATACAGTAAAAACGGTAATATTGTGAAATATCATTACAATTTAAAATAACTCTTTTATAATTGAATATATTTTATGAGGTTATTTATTCCTATGAGTCAAAGCTGAATTTTCAGGATCATTACATGATTCTTCAGTCAGCTGGAACATGAAAAGTTGTTTTTTTCCTCATATCAGAAAGAAGTCAGAGTTTTATAACTTTTGAGTTTGTAGTGGATTTAGTATTGACTGGGACGTGAAGATAAAGGTCAGGATTGATCTCCATGAATCACAATGGTAATGCTTATTTTTCACATCTATTATCACATTAACCAGGATTAAATTATTTAATTTACTATTGGCAAGATTTTATTTGAAAAATGCATTTTGCATTTTGACTATTGCTTTGCATTATTTTCATTAGCATGATTCAAATCTATATGCACATGATAGGTCGGAAAAAAAAATAGGCTACATATTAAAAAAATTATCATTTTATTTTATTTAGAAGGTGAGATTTTTCCGC